TGCGGGAAGAGCTTCGGCCACAGCTCGGCCCTGGCCCACCACCGGCGCATCCACACCACGGAGCGCCCCTACCGCTGCCCCCAGTGCGGGAAGAGCTTCTGCCGCAGAACTGACCTCGTCGTCCACCAGCGCGTCCACACCGGCGAGCGCCCGTACCAGTGCCCCCAGTGCGGGAAGAGCTTCTGCCGCAGAACTGACCTCGTCGTCCACCAGCGCGTCCACACCGGCGAGCGCCCGTACCAGTGCCCCCAGTGCGGGAAGAGGTTTGGCCACAGCTCCACCCTCCACGCGCACATGCGGACCCACCTGGCCGAGCGGCCAGCACCAGCGGATGCACACAGGTGAGCGACCCTACAACTGCGGCAACTGCGGGAAGAGCTTCTGCCGGAGCTCGGAACTCGTCGTCCACCAGCGCGTCCACACCGGGGAAAAGCCCTACCAGTGCTCCCAGTGCGGGAAGAGATTCAACCACTGCTCCACTCTCCGCATGCACAAGTGGACCCACCAGGCTGATCGGCTGGTGCGGGAAGGGCTTCAGCTGCAGTTCGGCCTTCTTGCAGCACCAGCACATCCACACTGGGGAAAAACCCTACTATTGCGCCGGCTGCGGCAAGAGCTTCTGCGACCACTCCACCCTGGTCCACCACAAGCGCATCCACAGCGGGGAGAAGCCCCACCAGTGTCCCCAGTGCGGGAAGAGCTTCTTCTACATCTCGGCCCTCACCAACCACCTGCGCACCCACACTGGGGAGAAGCCCCACCAGTGCCCCCAGTGCGGGAGGGGCTTCAAGCAGAGCTCATCCCTTGTAAACCACCTGCGCATCCACACCGGGGACCGGCCCTACCACTGCTCCCAGTGCGGGAAGAGCTTCAACCACAGCTCCTCCCTCATCACCCACCGGCACATCCACACTGGGGAGAAGCCCTACAAGTGCGACATCTGCGGCAAGGGCTTTGGCCAGAGCTCGGTGCTGGCGAAGCACCAGCGGCTGCACGCCGGAGATCGGCCCTACGCCTGCGCCAAGTGCGGGAAGAGGTACCGCTGGAGCTCGGAACTCATCATCCACCAGCGCATCCACACCGGGGAGCGGCCGTACCAGTGTGACGACTGCGGGAAGAGCTTCGTTGACAGGTCTGCGCTGATCCGCCACCAGCACACGCACACTGGGGAGAAGCCCTTCCAGTGTTCCCAGTGTGGGAAGGGCTTCTACTGCAGCTCAGCCCTCGTCTCCCAC